AGGCGATTCTGTTGCCGGGGGAGGGGGGTGTCGGGGGGTCCAGGGTTGCAATTTTTCATGAAAAATAAAATCTTTAAATTTCATGTGAAATATTCATGAAATTTCAGGATCTTATGAAAAATATTGAAACATATTTTTCGAACGTAAATGCGAAATTAATTGAAAGGCGGCTGGTTTTTGCTTTTTGGTGTCGTTAGTGCGTGTTGCATACCCAGCCCCTAAAAATAAGTTTCAATTTTTCACGACATAATGAAATATTTCACAGAAATTTTCAGTAATTCATGTTTTTCATTTCCAGTGTGCAACCCTGTCGGGGGTCGGTTGGACCCAACCTCCCTCGAGACTCCATTAATCGGGCATCCAGTTGACTCTGAATTGGCGCTAAGCAGAAAGGAACCAAGCCACATTACCCACTGCCAAATTTAACTGGGCAATTTAAGTTTTTACAAGAAAATGGTTGTGCGAATGTTTGCGCAAATTGCAGTAAATTTTCTGTATAATACGAAGCAAATTCCGTAAAATGTTCACAGGAATCTGCACTATCGTTCTCTTGTAAAAAAATTGCAGTGCCAATTGAATTTGATGTGGCTTGGTCAATGTCTTTGGGCTTGGTTCCTTTTTGCTTAGCGCGGTCTAATTGATTCGATGAGTTAAAAAACAACCCAACTTGGGTTTTTTCGATTTTCACTTTTTTGGAGAAAAATTTTCTTTAAAGGTACGATTTAAAAACTTTTGAAGTGCGAAGCGGACGAACTTTTACTGCGACGCCTAGTTTCTTGACAAGCAATCGGAGTGACATGAGAAAAAAAGCGGGATCTACTCTTTCTGTGGATAAAATTCGCCTCCTACAAAGCGGAATCAACTTTTTTTTTTTAAAGTTATAACTTATTTTCGAGCCTCCCCCGACGACACGCCTCAACTAGGCAATTCCGAAGTCTGCAAACACACTTAAATAGACAAATGGAGATTGAGGACCTCCAGCACTCCAAAAAATTAGATTTAAGATACTTTTATGGGGAAAAATTTACAGGGGGGAAACACACTATATAAATGTAAGTAATAAATCAATAAAGGCTCATATTAGAATGTAAAAGAGGCTTTCGGGTTAAGTTCTGTCCAACTTAATTCCACCCTGTAATTATCAAAATAAACAATAAGTTGAAAATTAAAAAAAAAAAAAAAAAAAAAAAAAAAAAAAAAACTTAATTTCGAGAGAAGAATATAATACCTTCCGGCCAAAGTATCACAAGTGCCATGCTACGTATATAAATTTCTGCCACCTTTTTCTTTTTTTACGTAGAAAATCTTCAACGAGGCCGTCCTAAAATTTCACTGAATTCCATCGGCAGCACAAAGAAAATGCAGTGAAATTTTCAGACAGCTTCGTTGAACAATTTCTCTGTGGAAAATAAAATGGCGGCGGAAATTTTTGAACATTGCATGGCGCTTCTGATACTTTGACCGAAAGGTGACGATTTCATCTGAAAACCGACAGCAAAGTATTATAATTATTATCATAAAAATATTACTGTGTTGTGCGAATGTAGTAAGGATGGCGATCTTACCGTGGCGTTGGGGGGCTTATCTGGAAAATAGACTTTGCTCCCTTCGATGCCTTAAGTGGGAAACCTGCTTGATTTTCTCTACAGTGAGGTTATACTTTTCATCCATTAGAGTCTTGCTCCACTTGGAAGTATATCCTCATGTCATATTAAAACATTCAGACCAAGAGAGAAAACTGAATACCTATTCCTTTTTTTTTAGTGTATGAAATATCACAATTACACAACTTTCAGTCAAAACCTACAGTAATCTGCTTTCACACTAGGCAAATAAGTTCAGAACACCCCTTAAAACCTTGGAAATATTTATTAAAAACACATCTTGGATTCCATTTAATGCATACCTTAAATGCTTCAGCACCCAAAACTTTGAATTTTGATAATTACCTAGAATGTTTGAGAGTCAATGAAAGTATTTGAGGAGGATTTTGCAAAAGTGGACTTTCTTTACCTCAATCATTTCTGAAAATTCTTATTCTAAGGAAATTAAATTTAGAACCGCTCAGTTGAGATTTACTTTATCCCTCATATTATCAAGTTTGATATAATTTTTTTTTTTTTTTTTAATCGATTTTCTTACATTCGATTGTTGATATTACACAAAGGCTGTTTCAAGCTAATTGTTCATTGTCAAAAATGAAAAATTGAAATAGTCACAATGCAAACACAAACAAGAAATTGAATGGAATGACCTGACCAACTCGTGGTTACAAATCGCACTATGTTTATAAGTTTAAATCTTCATTTTTAGCACCTGATGATGAGCAATTATAGCTTGAGACTGCTGTGGTGTAATATCATGAATCAAATGGAAGAAAATCGGTGTGAAAAAGTTTTATATTAACCTAAATTCAGCACAACGAGATGACGTTTAAGTCTTAACTCTCTTAGAGACGTTTCATAACATGTTTGAAAACAAATGCAATTTTAGAGGAAAGCGTTCGAGAAAGCGAACATGTCTCCAACCCAATCATTGTTGGAAATTTATATCCTAAATAAATAGAACAACATATCTCTTTAGTATTAACATCAGGCAGAAAAGACGTAAAAGCATTGAGATTTTGGCTGAACTCACAAAAAAATGGGGGGCTGGGGCCTCGAATCTCAAAATGGAAATATTAAAAAATCACAGTATTATGACAAACAATGATTTTGGAGAAATGAGAAAGAAAAAAGGACACGAAGAAGTGACCCGAATACTGTTAATGACAAGGTGGAGAAATGGTGCTGCGTCCACACCATTTCGCGGGGAAATCAAAGCCAAGAAATTCCTGGCTTTGAAAATGGAGCAAGTTGACTATTCATTCTGAATCTCACTAACTACATTTAAAAATAAGAAAATCAAGGGATAACTGAAGGATTTACCTTCAAAAGCAATCAAACAATCAGATATGTGTCAAAAACAATAATTTTACAAACAATTTACACAAGTCAACAACAAACAATCAAATTGGTGTGAATAAAATTTTACCAAAAATATACAGAATATACATGATATACATAAATTACAAAAATATACATAAGTTTTACAAAAATAATTAGGTACAATTACAAGAGAATTACATACTATGAAAACAGATAGATAACATGTCCAAAATTAGGCAAAACTTTACAAATATAGACAAATTCTTATCATACACACTTTTTACAACAAGTATACACAATTGTGAATGAATTTAACAAAAAATAGAAAATAAACTTTAAAAAAAAACAACCGTTAACAAAAAATAGAATATAAACTTAAAAAAAAAACTTTTAACAAAAAATAGAATATAAACTAAATTTAATTACATCTGTACACTAAAGATCGAATAATGCCCCTGCACAAGGGACATTTAACAGGAACATACAAGTAACGGTGTGTTTCAATCCCCTCCTGAGTTGAGTAGGTATGCCGGATAGGCTTAATGGCCTGTTCCAAACAGACCTCGCAGAAGACGTAGTGGTTGCATGGGAGTGCCGTGACCAATTGCCTTGGTTTTAGGCACCCCAGGCACGTCTTCTTTGAGGGCGGTTGTAAACAGGTCACACTGTGCATCGCCACCTTTGCCGTCGTGAAGGCTGTTCTAAGGCGGTGATGCTGGCAGTACGCCTCTTTTTCCGAGATGGTGAAGTCACCTGATCTTTCAAACCATGCTGAAAAAAATAAAATAATTTTTTGATGAGTGGTTTCTAATAAGAGGGTGACAAGTTTTAGAATTCCTGGACTTTCTCCCAAATATTTCCCGTTTAAAAAAAAAAAGAAAAAAAAAAAAAGAAAAATCTTGACTCTCCTCAAAACATTCAACAATGTAGGACGTAGAAATCCATATGACAGGAAATTCCTCAAATTGGATCCATTTTAATAGGAAAGACAATTGCATTGTTAGAGAGTTTCGGGGCAGGAGCTGCCTCCTACGACTATATGCTTAGTCCTAAGGTACAAAGATGATCACAGCTAGAGAAAATTGTCTAGCTCTCTCCTGTATTTTAAATTTACATGAATGTTTCAGTCATGCAATTTTCGGCAATCCGCCTTAAAAATACAGATAATAAAGAAAAGAGAGAAAAATAAAAACTGTAAAATAAAAGAAAGACTCAACAAGAGAATTTCCTCTCTTTATCTTGACTTATCAAGAAATTGTCACCATGTTTGAAGTTGCAACCATCATTTCTCAATTTTTATAGTTCCCTATAAACATATTTTTGATCCATGATACTGTTCAATGTTACTCCTTCAACCTCTTAAATGACTTTAATGATCTAATTCCATAACGGCGGTGAAACTCCCAAGACCATGTATCATGGTTTGTGACGTTGCAGACTTCCTGCCATACTTTATTTTTTAGAAAGAAAACTACTAAAAGTAAATTCTTTCAACTTTCTGTGATTTTTCTTCTCCCTGAGAAGAAAATTTATTGAAAACCTCAGAGAGGGAAGTTGATTTGTCCTCCTTCAAAGAAATAAAAAGGGGCGGAGATTTTGTAACACCACAAACAGGATACCTAACAGTTTGGGAGTTTTATCGTCGATAAATATATTAAAAAATTCCAAGAAAAGGGACCATCTCAATATTTTCCTTGAAAAAAAAAGGAGGGGGGGGGGGAACACTTAATAAAGAAATATCCTGTCTGATCACACTGGTTATAAATTGAATTAGTATCATTGTGCCTCCAGTAATCCTTTTAGTTGCCTGTCTTGCAATCCAAAACTGAGGTTGATGTCTCTGTGACCATTTTATAGGACAACATTTCATTCCTCCGTGTATACATTAGTTATTTGCCCTAGCCTTGGGCAATTTTTTCTTTCTTTAAGGTCTTATTATTGGCCTATAAGGTTTTATAGCTCCTCCTATTTTTCGTATTAACAGCATAGGTATAACAATAGCAAACCATATTTGTCGGTAACACAAAAAATGAGGTTTTTAAGAATAACTTAATGATTTGCAATATTATTTACCAGTATCCTGCTCATCATCTTCAGAACTTGAGGTTTCTGGCTGATTTAATCCACAATGGCGTGCAAATTCCAGGTATCTTTGATGGACTATTGCTTCTGTCAACAAAATTGAATAGTCTTTTAGATATAAAAATAAAAAGATAAAATATAATTTTTACATCATTGCTGGTGACGTGTCTTTTTAATTAGATTCACATGAAGTAAAGCTGAGTATTCATTGTACATTGCCACAAGCTTATGAGGGATTGCCGATCACAGAATGTAAATGCTCAACTAAACATTTTTAGCTAATGCAAAATTTCGTTAGAGAAGGGAATACTCTCCTCCAGTCCCCTCTTCCTTCCACGGCAACAGTGAGACAGGAATCATGCTGGCTTTAAACATATTCAGGTACAACATCTCAGAGGCAACAGTTGGAGTAGGATTCAAACAAAATACTTGTTTTACGTGGCGAATATTCACAACTCTTTAGTCAAAAAACAAGAACTGAATTGATGCAAAGTGAAAACTTGCAACTTGTGTCTTGCCCTGTTGATACTAGATCAGTCCTTGTATTTCATATTAGCTAAAGTAGGATGTAACCGACTTCAACAGTTTTCAAGCACACCCACTAATTGACTCGCCTGCAGACGCAAATCTATGCAATGCGATCCCTTGAAATCAATGAATGTAGTAACACTTACGGAACTCTGGGTCATTCTCTGACAATCCAGCCTCCGGTTCCATCATAAGCTCTGGAGAGCTTTCCTGTTGTGCCGCTTCAACTATTCTAAATGTGCGGCTTGTGGCACTTGCCACCCCTCTGATCGATCTTCCTCTACTGCTGACTCCACTTGGTCCAGCTTGTTCCTCATCTACAGAACATACAATCAAGTTGACAGCTAAGATGAGAATAAAAATGTACTTCATTTTTCACTTTAAGAAGAGAAGAGCATTGTCAGAGTTGATGTTTCTTTTTTTGTCGGGCTCATAGATATAATTCAAGAATTTAATCTCTAGATTGATGAAAAGAAGTGAAGATAATGTACTTGCTTTTTGCTTCATGAAGAGCACCATAAAGTTTTGGTACACAGCAAATTCTCCTCTTGGATACCAAATAGGAGGGAAAAAATAGCTTGGCTCATTTCCCTGGTATAATGCCATAAAATATTAGTATAATTAGGCATTTTAATGTGAAATTCATTAGATTGGAGTGATTTCATGTTCATTAATCTACTAATTGGCAAAGTAAAGTTATAAGCTCAGTTTTCAATTCTTTCTGGTTTCATCCATCATAAATACTCTCCTACGTTGACACCGTTGCTTATTCTGATGAACTTATTCCGAACGCCTCATCATTAATGATATTGCCTACAACACATTCAAATTTTCATTTGATCGTAGTGTACCAATTAAGGTACTTTACCTAACCAAGCCCCTCTGTCAAAGGATCTTACAAGACAGCCTCTCTGAAGACTTCATTGCTCCCCCTCTTGTTCCATTTTGATAGCCGCAGCTTCAAGATTGTAGGTAGTATTTTCAGACCAATTTAGACTGCATCACAATTACAAATCGACCCCGAAGGATTTACAAAATGTTTTAATTTTCAAATTCCTTATCCTTCCCTGACTTTCCTTGCCTTCTTTTGGCTTTTTCCTCAATCAAAAATTTTTAAATACCCTGACCTCTGGACTAAAGTTCCGTATCATGAGTTCCTTCTTAGATATGCTAACTTTTGCCACATTTTAGGTGAAAAATTCACAATTAGAGATTCAAATTCTGGAGGAAGCCACTCAGAGGTTGTGCTCCCTCTCTCAGCAATTGTAGTTATCGACTTTCCTTAAAATTAACAGTGATGTGAAATTTTGAAATTTGACTACCTAATTTCCCTTTCCAGGTTTACCAAACTGACGGAGACTCTGCAATTGTCTCTGTTTGAAAGCCAAATTTATGAAAGTATATTGTTTCATTGTAGTCAAATGCTGCTAACCCAACAAAGCACAAAGCATCCCAAAAAATGCACCATGCAATCATAATTGCATTTAATTCAATCAAGATATAGTTAGGTCATTGAACCGAATTTTGCGTTCATTTTGGGTTTTGTCAGATCTGCTTTTGTCAAGACGCAATTAATCTGAACACTTTGGGATGTCTGGGTGTCAGGATTGGTCAACAACCTATTGAAAATAATAATGCAGTATAAAAATCTTAAACAGTCCCTGGAGCTGATCAAAGATTTCAGCAAGATATCCCAAAATTGTTCCTCTTATAATGTCAAAAATAGACATCATGCTTAAACTGACTAGCCTCTACCAAACTAAGTAGTTAGCTAAATACAGTAAAATAATAAAATGTGGTTGCTGTAAAAAGAAAATATATGTAGTAGCGAGCGTACCTTCATTGGCAGTAGGAACAGAGGAATTTGAATGGAGTCTTTCCTCCTCTTGCTGGGGATTTGGATCAACTCTTTCGACCTCCTGTGGCAGTGTACGTGGTGCCGCTATTAAATGAGAAAGAAAATTCAAAACATAAATTCATAGCCACTACTTAGTACTTCATTACAGTCACCAAAATCATTGAAACTATGGATTTCAATGGACTTGCCTCTCTAAGTAATTGTAGCACGATGAAACCATTTTGCACCCTTTGTAAGGCTTGCCCACTCCTACATACGGTTTGATAAAGAATTCTCAACATTACTGTACTCCACCTGAACTCATTTATTAAGGCTGTAATTGTACCAGAGTCATTTTTTACTTTCTTTCAAATCCCTACACTACAGAGTTTTTTTTTCTATGGGCCATTATATCAGTGCATATTTCAGCACTCGATTTCAAAAAATTATTTTTTTAAATAGGGCAAAATCATAAAATGCAGTTGCTGTAAAAAGAAAATATATGTAGTAGCGAGCGTACCTTCATTGTCAGTAGGAACAGAGGAATTTGAATGGATTCTTTCCTCCTCTTGCGGTGGATTTGGATCAACTCTCTCGACCTGCTGTGGCGATGTATGTGGTGCTGCTATTAAATGAGAAAGAAAATTCAAAACATAAATTCATAGCCACTACTTAGTACTTCATTACAGTCACCAAAATCATTGAAACTATGGATTTCAATGGACTTGCCTCTCTAAGTAATTGTAGCACGATGAAACCATTTTGCACCCTTTGTAAGGCTTGCCCACTCCTACATACGGTTTGATAAAGAATTCTCAACATTACTTTACTCCATCTGAACTCATTCATTAAGGCTGTAATTGTACCAGAGTCATTTTTTACTTTCTTTCAAATCCCTATATTACAGAGTTTTTTTTTCCATGGGCCATTATATCAGTGCATATTTCAGCACTCGATATCAAAAAATTTTTTTTTTAAATAGGGCAAAATCATAAAATGCAGTTGCTGTAAAAAGAAAATATATGTAGTAGCGAGCGTACCTTCATTGGCAGTAGGAACAGAGGAATTTGAATGGATTCTTTCCTCCTCTTGCGGTGGATTTGGATCAACTCTCTCGACCTGCTGTGGCGATGTACGTGGTGCTGCTATTAAATGAGAAAGAAAATTCAAAACATAAATTCATAGCCACTACTTAGTACTTCATTACAGTCACCAGAATCATTGGAACTATGGATTTTAATGGACTTGCCTCTCTAAATAATTGTAACATGATGAAACCATTTTGCACCCTTTGTAAGGCATGCCAACTCCTAGATAAGGTTTGATAAAGAATTCTCAACATTACTTTACTCCATCTGAACTTATTCATTAAGGCTGTAATTGTACTAGAGTCATTTTTTACTTTCTTTCAAATCCCTATACTACAGAGTTTTTTTTTCCATGGGCCATTATATCAGTGCATATTTCAGCACTCGATTTCAAAAAATTATTTTTTTATCACCTCTTCTTCAGAAATTTTTTTAGATGTTGTAAAGGAGATGCAATGATGAGAATGAGTTTATAAATTAAAATAGAAGTTTTAAGTGCTTTATTTTCAGTAAGATGAGAGCAAATTCTTTTTTTGTGTTCTTTCACTCAGCTAGAGATGATAATGCTCGTTTGCTTGCTCTCAGCTAATTTTATTCAATTTTTTCTTGCATTGTGAATTGCTTGTGTATGCTGATCTTGGTTTGTAGTTGGGAATCTTAACAATCATTTCCATTCTTCTGCTTAAGCACTTATTAATATTCAATACTTTTCGTGCGTAATTAATGAGTCCCTCACAAAAAAGGCAAATGTTTGTGAAAAATATAAGATTCTTGTGGGTAAAATTAATGACAACAATTTATTAAACATTTAGGTGTACACTTTTGACTCACCTTCACCTCGAATTCTTCCTGACCGTAGTCTACCAGCTGGAAGATCCACAAAATCGATAGGAGGTGCTGGCAGAATGTGATGTTGCCTTGCATCTTCTGCCTCCCCTCCTCCAACCTCTTCTTCTCTTCTTACAGTGGAGAGACAATCTGTAACTACAAACACTACATTTAATGAAGGCCAATCATAGTGCGGGAGGCCAAAGCTCACACAGGGTTATAACGCTGTTAATAGTAAGTACATTGTGAGGACCCTCTGGGTTGGTTCAAATAACTTTTCTCTTTTTTCAAACTTTTTGTCCTTACCGTAAGCCTTAAGAGAGGAATTTAATTCAAAGTCTTAATTACTTATAGCTATTTTTTCCTGTCATAAGTCACTGGATGACTGTTTATTTTAGTAATGAATTTAAGGAGCATCATCATCAAAAGTTGAATTTCCCTTTTATTTAGCACTTTTTGTATTGTCCACAGTTAGGCTAAACACAATTAATTTTTTTCTAACCGTAGACCACAGAAAAAGTGCTAAGTCTAAGGGAAACTCAACATATAACAGCGAAGTTTTGTAAGTAAATTGATTATGAAAATACACTTATCTAGTGAGTTCTGACAGCACGAAATAGTCATGAACATTTGAAACTTTATTTTCCTTGAATTTAGGTTTTCTCTCAGGGTCTATACTGAGGAGAAAAAGTCTAAAAAAGTGAAAAGTTATGTGAGCCAACCCCTCCATTATCCTGATACCCAGCTATAAAACTTAGTATTCTTACCTTCACTGTTGCATGATGAGATGGAGACATTGGATGTCTCTTCTCCCTCTCCCTCCTCCTCATCTGATTCTCCTTCTACTTCCTCTTCTTCCACACATTCTTCCTCTCCTTCTACACCTTCTTCCTCTTCTTCCACACATTCTTCCTCTTCTTCTACACAGTCTTCCTCTTCTTCTACACCTTCTTCCTCTTCTTCTACACATTCTTCCTCTTCTTCTACACCTTCTTCTTCTTCATCATCTACACCTTCTTCCTCTTCCTCCACTGTTTCCTCATCTAGAGAGAAGAAATAGTTACGTTGGTTAGGAAAGAATAATTCAATCAGGGCCATATTTTTGGCAAAATCTATCTCCTTCGCTATCAGATCAAGTGCCATTATGAAACTGTTGATTTTCTGCATTGCGTAGCTTCCTTTATTTGCCTCATTTTTAGTATCAGAACAAGAGAAAAGTCTGCCCAGTACCTGTCCAATAGCATTGTATGAGCAATTGGTATTCAGCTGGGATCTACCTGCCTATCCATCTAATCTCGCATACCTATCTCCATTACTGTATTTCAGAGTCTCTAATTATGGCTTATTTTCTTTAAAAAAAAAACCAATTAAAATGTCACCTGGAAATTTCCTGGGCAGATTTTTGAATGGTAAAGGAGGATACTCTGAAAAATTTCAAAGACCACTGTAAAATATTTTATTTCTGAAAAAGTTGAAACATGAACTGATTGTAGCAATGTCGGAATCGAAAATATGCTTACTTTCACTTAAAACATCAATATTCTTGCTTCTTATACTCTAACAAGAAATTTTTCTTCCCTTATTTTCATTTTAAGGAGTGTGCGGTTACGCCTTTGTGTGCTTGTTTACACAGTGAGAGTAAATTTTGAAATTTAGGTGTTTGTAATTTTTTTGCTTCGTTTTCCCTTCAAGAAAAAGAGGATGTATCATTTCCCTGATATCTTGCTATCAAGCATATGTCTACTCTTACCTGAGCTGTCTGATGAGCTACCTTGCTCTGGTAGATCGAGCTGAACGATTAGCTCGTCTGTCAGGTGAGGCATATTGGTTTCAGCACGGCAGTGGTGTGGCACCCTGTGGCACATGACGTTTAGGAATTCAAGGAGGCTGCATGTGCCCCTTGCAAATGCCCCCTGCTTTTTCCTAATCGCCTTGTCGTGCAGCTCCCAATTTTTACGGCGCGCTGGAGCCAAGAGAGTCCCCTCTTGCAGCGACTCAAAATCGGAGACTCCCTCCCGAAACAGGTCTAACAAACAAGCTGGAAAATTGTAAGAAAAAAAGGGATTGAAAAGTTAATCTTTCAGCATGACTTAGAAAGACTACGAAAATATAATCACTATAATACAAAATTGTCATGGCTGGTACCATCGGTACAAAGGTTTCCCCTGTAGATGTAAACAAATTTGAGGTTTCTGCTGGAGGTGCTTTTTTTGAGACTTCAACTCTGCTTCCTCTATTACCCACTTGTAACTCATTGTTAAACGTCTTGCATACAGTTTTAGTGATAAAGTCAGACTGAGACAAACAACATTTATGGTTTCAATGAACAAATTCTTGGGTTTTCCTTGGATGGGATTTTTTTTCTCTTCCAAAAAAAATTTACACCAGTTCTGAAATGCTTCCATCGGAGGGGCAAAATAATTTTAAATTGTAGCCAAGTGATGATTATACCTAGTGTAGCTAGTTTTTGCACTATATTAGCATAACAAACTCTGGCCATCAAAAACAGTGCCCCTAATGATCTGCATGAGGAAACTTTTCTCATCTTAAAATATTAGGAGCCCACATAATTCAGAAGCCCTACAAGGGTATTCCCCTAAGCATATATTTCCCGTTGGTTTTCCTGTACCAAGTTTTGCAATTTCATAGACGTTTGGTTTAGTTACAATAATTAGTGCTACAACCACTAGGCACATCAAATTGTCAAGACTTTTATTTTGAAGCTTCTATATGTTTTCCGTATTTGTTCATTAAAAGTACTAAGCAAAACAGCATGACCACTTACTAAGTAAGTTCCATATGTTGGGGCGTTCACAGTCCACTGCATCGTTGAGCCCTCTGTGGAACCCCTCTTGAACATTATTCGTACGGTTCATGGCACCATAGACAGAGAATCCCTCGGGGGTCACTATATTCATCCAATAGTTTTTGAAATAGCTAGAAACAGAAAGATAGCAAAGTCTGAGACCAATTTAATTTTCAACCTCCTCTCGGAATATTAATGACACTTGATACAGAGCTATTTAGGCCTAAATTAATCAAAAGCCACCATGATAAAACATTATGACAGGCTTGGCATTTCTAAAACTGTAGAAAGGCTCCATAAACCTAAGCGTCAGTTCCTTCATTTCAACCCCTACAGAATTACACCTCAGAATAAATCATTTTGTACAAAAAATGTCCATAAATGGGAACTTTAAAACAAGTCTCTGATGTTCCAGTCAGAAAGTTGTAAGAGCCTAAATTCTACACCTTTTGATTTACAAAAAAAAAAAAAAATAAATTATGTGAAGGAAATCTGTGCAGAGTTGAATCATGTGACAAATGAGCTACATCAGCGTTTCCACTTCTCACAATGCCAGAGGTAGGAAATGTTAATTTTACATTCTGAATGTGAGCAAGTAAAACACACGAATAAACGTCATCCAACAACTGTATGTAACAAGGTGATAAAATAGTGCTGGGTCTAAACTATTTTGTGGCGAAAACAAAGCCAAAAAGTGCACAATTTTCAACTCTTTCTATACTGAAACTGAAAATTGGGAACTTCTTGGCCTTATTTTCCCTCTGTAACAGTGTGGACCCAGCACTATTTTACCACCTTGTTACCTACATTATGAATATGTTTACTTTCAAATTTATAAATACTTTACACAGTGGTTGAGGGCGTTGCAATTTTTTAAAGTATAAAAATATGATCCTAATTTTCCTCCATGTGAAGAATATCAGTCATCGAGAAAATCTTACTCAACTTAAGCATTACTTTTTGGAATGTAAAAGAGGGTACTTGAGGTGTAAAATTTAAGTTAATTCCACAGCGGACCACACCATTAAAAAACAGTTCTAGGCTGAGTGCAACTGGAAAGATCCAAACTAATGTCATTATGTCTGCTATAAGGACAAAACAGCACCCACTGTCTTTATATCTTTCATTTTAAATTCTTCATCAAAAAACATTGTTCATTACAACGTACATAACAAAGTCTTTGTTAAAAATATACACTTGATGATGCTCGAATATACTGCTTGAGGTCATGCTCCTCAGATTTCTCTTCGAGAAAGATGCTGTACAACTTTACTATTACTTCGCAGTTAGGAAAAAAAATAGTGACAGCTAAAAGTAGAGACAATTGAATTACCAACCTAAAAAATGGCTTCATCTTGCCTTTTAGCCCCTCATTTTTGGCTATTTTCTTCACCAATCGGAAGGCATCCCGTATTTTATTCGCTGGAAGGAGAGCACTACCGATCAGCATGTAAACCAACTTGCTTTCCCAGCCAGATATGACACTAATGCCCAAAGATCGAGCCTTATGGATGAGAGCCTGAAACATAAAACAGCAATTAAATACTGAAAAAACAGGCAATTTGTTGGATGAAGGTCCCTGAGACTACCCATCAAAGACAGTACGACTTAACCTTGTAATAGCATTCATCCTCTCTAGAAGCCCCCTCTCACACCCAACTTACATAGTAGCAGTAAAGGGTTCAAGAACTGAAAATAATAAGAACCTCATCAATCTCACTTTAAGAAGGAGAAACGTAAACTTTGAAATTTTGTCCGAATTTTAAAAATCAATGTCAGTAGATCAATTGACAAGGAAGCTTGAGAGCTGAAGATTGGAAATATGTTTGGTAATACATTTTATTCCTTGATCTTAGTTGAAAAAAAGCTTAAATATGAAAAGCGGATGATCCACTTTATGTAGGATAAATAAAAAGTGTTTATGAGTTAATGAAAAGATCATTTACCTGGGCAAAATGGAACCAGCACCCCAGGTGCTTGGCTTCAGGGAAGCACTTTTTTATGGCTCCTTTGATACCCCTCTCGAAATCAGAAACAAAAATCTTCGGTTTGAAAGCAGGATATTCCTCTTTAATGGCCTCAAAAACGTTAATGTACGCTTTCTTCCTGCGGCTCTGCATCAAGGCAAATGCAATGGGAATTGCCTGGAACAGAACATTGAGATGAAAATCCTTAGATTGACAAATTTCTGATATTGAATCAGTATATACTCTTGAATACCTTTCCTTCCAGTTTTTTTCATACCAGAACTATAAGAGGTCAAATACTGAGGACACTACTTTCATCAAAATAAACATTTTGTCCATAATTTGGACATGATTGGTACATTCCTTTTTTTCCATATTAAAATATACATGTGCTGCAGCAGTGACATAATTGATAAATAATCAAATTTCAAATTCTACAAAAATTCCCCCTCGATGTTTATCTTGCCTTTCCCTAGATTTAGGAGCAAATTAGAAAAGTTGTTGTAGAACTGGAATGGTGATAAAGGTAGATCCATTTAGAAACTCAGTATTCTAGAGTTCATGAAAATTTTTGGTGTGTCAAGACTTTCTTCATTATGTTTACCTACTTAAAACTTCTGATGGTAGTGAAACTAAGATTTACAATTTCTTTTCAAAACACCTTTTAAAGAAGTAATAAAACCGAAAAAACTCATATCTTGGAGAAAATTTATGCCCCTTCAAACTGAGATAAAATAAATGTTAAGTGGTGGAAAATTTGTTTTATCACACCTCCTGTCTGCTTCTTACTGTAATTTTCATTGAATTCAAGAACAGGGGCTGATTTCTGCCTTCAGACACTTCAATGGGAAACATTGACGAGAAACATGAGTGGATTGCATTTTGCAAGAAGGGACCAAGAGCATTCCGGTGTTGCTAAGATTGTGCAATGTTTTCTTCCCTGCAAATATAAGCTGATCATTTAGACGAGTTTTATCTTTACTCCCAATCAACTATAAATTCAAGACAAAAATTAACCTTGTAAATTTAATATTTTGCCTGATTTCAGTCATTTTTGGCTAAAAATATATGTTTCACAATCCTAGCAATATTGGAATGCTCTCAGCTCCTTTTTGCAAAATACAA